TGTGCTGATTATCACACTGAATACTTGGCTAACAGGCGGATGATGCTGACCTCTAACTCTCAGATACGTTCCCATCAGAGAGCGTGGCCGTTTTTCCCCTTCGTTCAGGCACGAAACAGCATGTCACATCCTCTGTTCGCAAGTCACATACCGACTTCTCGGCTGGTATCATTGAAACAACGTGGAATAAACTGCTTGCTAACGAGAATTAGCGGTATGGACAAATCTTATTCCTCTGTTGGGGTTTAAAACCAGTACCTCAGGAAATGAAGTGGACCTTCCCGGACCCTAATCACTGCATCCCACAAGAGACCTGTAATGAAAATATTCAATCAGATCCGTATTTTCTTATATACTATAGCAAAAACTTGCTAATCACCAACGACATTTCAAGAAATGTTCTCCCGTATGCCGATCAGGCAAAATGCAAACTCTGTTTCAATTTCAGCATTATCATTATTTTAATATTTAGAACATATGATTACTTATAAACGTTAACTCATTTTATTTTTTTTCAGACACAATTACTTACAGCTTAGCGATTTAAAGCAAAACGTAAATATGGTGGTTAAACATATTGCCAACGGGTTGACGAAACAGCTGGGCACGTGTAGAGAATACGGTAAAAGCGATCAGCAAGTATTATAATGATTCAGAAAATGAATTCGTATTGTATTACGCGCTCTTCGGCTATTGTACAGTTATAGGCCACTATACTACAAAACCGCAGCGACTGAACATCATTTGGTACAAAACGTATTACTTTTTCACGCAAATAATTTAAAATAAAAGTGTATGAAAACAAATAATTTAAGTGCATCGCAAATCAAAAAGTTGGTAAAAATGGTGATAGCCAAGGATCTACATCTCCGCTCGTCTCTCGCGAGCTTATGCAAGATCGTTCTGGGTTCACTTCTACAGTTGGTTGTATGGCGGGCAGCTGTTGTGATCTCTTGAGCCAAAAGCACTCTTGGTCCATGCTGGTTCAGTAGTTTCTCAGTCACACGCTTGATACACCTTGAATAAGTATCAAGTACAGAGTTTGTACCCTTTGCCCCGGTGGATATTTTTGAAGGATGGAATAACTGAGGCTCAATTGATTCATTTGCTCTGCAAGTTTATTTCTTTCAAGCTGGTTCGTAGATTCAAACAATTGGGTCAAGTGAGGTTTTTCTGATAAATGCTGCACCATCCCCGTGGCAGTTTCGATATTATCTTTGACCTTGTTAGGAGCGAGGGTTTATTTTGTTCCTGAATGCTTCGTTCACCTTCGTCTGCGGCCATAAATTTTCTCCATTTTGACAGGTTGTGTCGTCTTTCGTTAACTGTCTTTCCGATTTGTCTGATTTCAACATCGTATTCAGTCGTAGATAGTCTTTGTAATTTTTCATTAAAACCATATAACACAGAAATTAGATTTTAAATCATAGACTTTACTCTGCCATATAATACTAAGTTTTATGAAAAATCCAGACTGCTTTTCACTAAATATAATATGAATATCGTATAAAGACGCTTCAATATACAAAAAAACTTTGTTAACTAACTCTGCCTTCAAGCCTGCAATTTCCAACTGCATAAAATATGATTGTCGACACAAAAGCGCTAAAGCTCTTGAATTCTAAATATCTGCGAGTGGATAAATTTTAATTCGGCTCAGACCTCGTGGAAAGCAAGAACAGTCTTAACCAAATGTGTCGATCCGCACCGCTTCAGACTCATGTTGTTTTCTGCCGAGGCTCAAATGCCGGCACCGGATAATGAATGTTTTGGATATGTTTGCATGCGCTACCTAAATGGTTAGGCAATCAAGGAAACTGAGGAATCCTGTAAAAGACAGGAACCATTAATTGTCGTGTTTAGCAGCAGTCTATGAGTTTTGAAACGCTCTATTTCGATTTCCGACGCGTTTTTTGGACAGGCAATACTACTAAATGAAGGTGTTACTGTGCATTTTCTTTAGCTTGTACCTGCTGCTTACATAAGGGTATGTTGGATCCTTCAGTTATATGATTAACAGTTTTGGCATCGTATCACGTATTACGCTGCATTTTAATTTCATTTTGATACCCTGCAGCACTAAGGTTTTAAAAATACTTCCTTATTTTTGCCTAAATTTTATCGTTAAATTTTTATTTCTGTTACTCTTACTGAATGATTGTTTTCTATGATTGCTGAAACTCAAAATGTGTCTTCTTAAATTCACTGGTACTTCAATGATTCTATTAAAATGCCAGTTGATGGATAGCTTTCTCTTTGGTTGTGTATTGGTGAAAGCTTCAGTTTTACATTCGTGCGCTT